GGGGAGGTTTCCACCTTGTAGACAACTGAATCAGAGCTGCGTGAGCTTCCATAAGCAGCAGCTCGCTGCCCCCGAGCCACCCTCTGCAGCCTCACCCTAGCTGAGGGCAGGAGCTGCAACTGCTGCACTGGAGCCATGAGCCTGTCCTGGGGCTGTGGCAGCCACAGCGGGGGCCTGCAGGAACCACCCCTTGCACACGGGTGTGCTGTGCCATGTTTGCCCGTCGGCCAACCTGGCTGTCGCCTACCCAGCGGCCCAGCCCTGCTGACTAGCCAAGCCCTGGGCTGCCGCACAACTCTTCAAGGGCTGAGGCTTGGATAGGGACCCCAGGCTGCACGAACACGGGTGCTGTGAGGGTCATGCAGGCTCCAGCCTAGGCATGGGTGGCCTTGCCAGCCCTGTCTCCATCACTGCCCGAGTGCCAGGTCTAGCTCGGACTGGAAGAGCTCCTTGCACATTAGTTACAGCTACCTCCCCGCAAGGGTGGCTGGGAGCTGGGTCCCTCCGGAGGCACCCCCCGCCTGCCGATGCCTCTCGTTTTAATCACGTCTGTGCCACTGCTTCCCTTGCTGCACTGCATTAATACTTTAAACGGGCTCTATGCATTGGGAGTGCCCCTGAGAGCTGTGCTTGGGTTGTCTCGGGGGTCTCCTGGAGGCGTTCAGGCAGCAGGTCTTTACCCTCACTCAGCTCCCTGGTCCCTTACTGCCTGCCTGCTTCCCTCCCCTAAGGCCATCTACAAAATGGTTTCCTCGGTGATGAAGATGCCTGAGGATGAATCCACCCCTGAGAAACGAACGGAGAAAATCTTCCGACAGATGGATACTAATAATGATGGTAAGCAAGCGGAGCCCCAGGGGATTAGGGTGCAGGCGCATGGCTAAATCCCCGGGCCGGCAGAGGGGGGGGCATGCATACACCGATTAAAAGCTGGATCGTGGGGCTGGGCCCCTCCCGGCAGGTTGCAAGATGTTGCTTCCCCCCCCACCACCACCACCACGCTGGCTTGGACACAGCTGCCGTGTGCCTGGGACCACAGGCTGCTGTCCCAGGGTCGCTGTCTCCAGAAGAGCTGCGGTGCCCAGGAGCTGGCTGCTAGGGGTTGTGGTGGGGGAGTGAAGCCACTGCCCGGGACCAAGGGCCCTCCCAGCTCCCTGCCCAGGCAGCTCCTAGTGGAGCCATCTGTGACCTGAGGCCCTGTCTTGCCCTGCCACCCAGGCAAACTGTCTCTGGAAGAGTTCATCAAAGGTGCCAAGAGTGACCCGTCCATCGTGCGGCTGCTGCAGTGCGACCCCAGCAGCGCCTCGCAGTTTTGAGCCCGCCCCAGCGCCGCCTGGCAGGGATGGGCCGCGTCCCCTGCCGCCCGCAGCCGCCACGACACCTGACCTCACAACAGCACCGGCTCCAACAGGGAGACCCGCCGCCCCCCGC